CTCAGCCCCTGCTCAGCCAGCCCTGGCCAGTCCTCAGGGGGCGGAGGTTAAGGCTGTGCGTAAATGGCAGGCTGTGGTCTGCTCCACCCACCCTCAGTTTCCTTCCCCTTTCTTCCTTCCCTCCCATTCCTCCCACCCACTCAGCCTCAGCCACGCCTCCACCAAGAATCCCAGAGGTGCAGCCTGCCCAGGTATCAGCTCTGAGGGGCCCCGAATTGTCCTCTAACACATCCGCCTCGAAGGGTGAAACAAGGCTCTCAGGCCCCAAGTGGCCCCTTTGGGCTTTGTGGTTTTATGCTAAACTGACCCTCTTTGCATCTGTTTGCATTTTTAGCAACCATCGGTCTCTGAGCAACAGCTTCTGTGATTTCTTGGAAGGTCAGAGGAGCGTGGAAAGCATGACGTTTACTGTCACATGTGACTTTGGTTTGTGCCCTAGGACCACTAGATCTATTTTTCTCTCCTCCATAGTTAAAACTTCCCTGCAGTTGGAACGACCTGTCTCCCAGAGGGTGTAGGAATTCAGTAGAAGCCAGGCCTCTTCAGCAGTGATTATCAGCCACCCAGTACATCCACCCATCCATCCATCCACCCATCTATCCACCCACTCACCCATCCATCCACCCATCTATCCATCCATCAACCCATCTATCCTTCTACCCACCCATCCATCTATCTGCCTAGATAACTACCTACCCATTTACCCACACATCCATCCACCCATCTATCCACCCACTCACCCATCTACTCTCCCATCTATCCACGCACATACCCATCCATCGACCCATCTATCCATCTACCCACCCTCCTGTCTATCTACCCAGATACCTACCTACCCATCTACCCACACACGCATCCACCCATCTATCCACCCATCCATCCATCCACCAACCCATCCATCCATCCACCCATCTATCCATCTACCCACCCATCCATCTATCTACCCAGATACCTACCCACCCATCTCCCCATCCATCCATCCATCCATCCACCCAGTCATCTGTTCATCTAACAGTGGTTCTCAACCATCCTAATGCCGCGACCCTTTAATACAGTTCCTCATGTTGTGGTGACCCCCAACCATAAAATTATTTTCGTTGCTACTTCATAACTGTAATTTTGCTACTGTTATGAATCGCAATGTAAATATCTGATATGCAGGATGTATTTTCAGGGGTCGTGACCCACAGGTTGAGAACCGCTGATAGCAGCTACTCAATGAGCCCTTACTGTGTGCTTAGGGCCCCTGCCAGGCACTTGGGTTGCAGTGCAAGCAAGACTGGTGAGGCTGATAGTCTCATGAAAATGCATGAATGCCTTATTCTGTTCTGTCACATCTAGTGGATGTTGAGAAGACAGGGAGAAGGCTGGTGGGATAGGATGGCCGGGCAGGACAGGGCTCAGATGACCAAGGGAGTCGCTGAGCACAGAGAATCTTCTCGTTACTTTATTTCTGTTTTCCAAATTTTCCACAGTGAGCGTATGTTGCTCATCTTCCTGGGAACAAATCATTTACAAATCCTGTGAAAGGATTGACCCCCAAACCCACGGGGCTGTTACCGAGTCTTAGAGACAAAGGACGGCGTGAGGCCGGGAGGCTCTGTGGTGGTCTCAGCGCTGGCTCACTCTCCGGCAGTGACCAGCCCGCCCTGGCCACCAGGACTCCTAAATGGGGCTCCAAGCCAGGCACAGGGGCTGAGCAGGGGCAGGACAGGGACATCCTTGGCCCAACTACTCTCTCCTATGGACCTGCACCCCCACTCCATCCTGCCGTGGCCTCCTGGGTCCTTCTTCCTGTTCCTGAAGCTTCCGGGGTTCCGGTGGAAAAGGTGATATCCTTCAGGCAGGAACACTGGTCTGTTATGGGCGACAGTGTGTTCCTGAGAAAAACGAAAGTACAAATAAATACAGAAAGGCCTTAAATGCTTTATAGTTTCTGACCCAAGGCTGCCTCAATCCCCTGCAGCCTGCCCTCTTTCAGACTTAAGTAGCCAGAGACCCTCACCCCACTTCTGGCCCTGTGAGGGGATTTCGAAGAAATCTGTGGGGTGTTTGCTGGAATAAAGATTAAGTGGGATAAACCTAGCCAGCTGCTACACTTGCCCCTCCCAGCAGCCTGCCCCTCGCCACACACACACACAGCAGCGTCAGACCCTGCCCGTGGGGGCCAGAGGACAAATGTCACACCATGCTGCACACACCAGGAGGTGGATGGCTGGCATGGGTGCCTCCCTGCATCCGTGTTCCTAGGCCTATAGCCAGGGTGGGAGGTCGCAGCACCCAGGCCAGGCCTCAACAGCTATTAGCCTCCTCTTCTGAGATGACTTGGGGATCCCCAGCTTGGGCAGGGGCTCCCACCCTTCAAGTCTGCCAGCTGTCAGGCCCCCATCTGGAAGTATCTGGGCCCAAGGACGAGGGACAGACACTGTATTTCCCCGGCTTCACCCTCACGTCCTAGCTGGGCAGTGGTGCCCAGGGTGCTCCATCGCCAAAGCCCCGGAGCGCAGGTTAAGAGGGTGCCGACAGTCCCTGCCCTTGGTCCTCACGGAGCTCAGAGATGCCTGGACACAGGTGCCCTTGGGGAATCCCCAGTCTTGAGCACTTCAGTTGCTAGAACCTCAGAGGAGAAGTAGCACAGGATGCAGTAAAACGAGCGGTTTGGGGGCTGGATTTCGGTCCCCGTTCTGCCTCTGATTGGCTGGAGACCTGGGGCCAGTGGTACAACCTCTCTGGCTCAGGAAAGTGAAGGCACTGGGCTGGATTTGGGGTTTTCCACTTGTCTGGGCAGTTTTGGGTTCTGCAGAGATAGCCGTGGGCAGAAGGAGCGGTGGAGCTGGGCTCTGCCTTCTCGTGTTCCACGGTTCATAGTAGCACACGGTTCTGCGTTCAACAAAAAGCCCGCAAGCTGGGCTCCGGAGTCTGTGCAGTGTGGGACCTTCGTGTTCCGCCAGCTGTTCCACCAGCTGTTCCGCCTGCTGTAGTTTGGCAAAGGACAAGTGATGGGGTCCCATTTTCTCTGCAGTGAGCCTATCTATTGGGTGTGAGAGGTCAGGGTAGATCAGGCTGGGGAGATGAGAAGTCGAGAGGTCCTACGCCTTAGGCTGATGGGACCCCAGCCCCCTGTGAGCCCCTCCCTGCAGCTCCCACCATCCTGCCACCATGGGATGGACAGGAGACCCAGGTAGCTGCGGGGCACCTGGCTGGAGCCAGCTCAGGTTCCAAGCCGCTCCCAGAAGCAGCCGCATGGACTCATCCACCACGTCCACTCTCCACGCCGGCTGACAGCTGGCTAATATCTTAATGGGGCAGTGAGTTTTACTCCTCAAAGGGCAACACTTTCTCCCCAAAGAGATCAGCTCCAAACCTCACTGTGGTTGGTGTCACCTGCCACCTAGTGGCCCTCGGTGGTACTGCATGGCATCCCACAGAGGGAAGTGGCCTGGGGGGGTCTCCTGGGCTATGAAAAAAAAAAACAGGACATGAGCAAGAGGAGTGGCTGAAGGACTTGGGGTTCCTTCCCCTTCTCCTGTGAGCACCTCCCTTAGGTCACCTACCCACCCACCGTGCATTACTCATTACTAAGCATTGTTCCACTAGTATATCATCTCATTTACTTTTCACGTGGATATTATGGGATGTGCAGCTGAGGAAACAGGTGTAGAGAGGACACGAACTCACCTGAGATCACAGGGCAGAGACCTAGATCCTGCTCTGACTCCAGAACTGTGTTCTCCATCAGCCTATGGCACTCAGGTCCCAGCCAGGGAGACGCGATCACGGATGGGAAACGGGACCATCGAGGCGCGCCAACTAGAGGACAGGGACTCCCGGGCAGCGGGGCTGGAGGCACCAGGAAAGGCCTCCGGTCACGCGCAGGCTTCCTGCTTCACGGAGAAAGGAGACCATGAGTGGCTCATGGCCCTTCTCTGACAAGGGACACCAGGCCAAGTTCTACACGGGCCCTGGCACACTTTTTTTTTTTTTTTAATGTCTCTTTCCTACTATGACAGGGTGTGTGATCCTGTGGCCATAACCCCTTTATTATAACCTCCACCAAACCCAGCCAGGGCGTGGCCTTCTCTCATGTTGGCTGTAGGGTTTGTAGGTAAATGTAGCTTCATCCGGTGGAAGTTAGGGAAGCTCTAAGCTGCAAATAACTCACGATGCAGCTAATAATGGTTTGTCTCTTGCACCAAGAAGTCGTGGGGTATGCAACTGATCGTGACGGTGGTTTTTAGCCTTGCCATCAGGAAAGCGTGGACACAGCTCTTTCCCTTGTTCTTAGGGTGTGAGCCTTTGTCTACGTGCCTCTCACTCCTGGTCACAAAACAGCTGCTGTGCCTCGGGGCTTACGTCTGTGTTCCAGGCCGGAAGAAGGGAATGGGCAAAACCCAAAGGGACGTATCAACGGAGTCTGCTCCTTTTCTCTTTATATATATAATTAACAGAAACTACTATTTCTTTTTAATTGAGTTTATTGGTGTGACATTGGTTAATAAAATTATATAGGCTTCGGGTGTACAATTCTCTAATACATCATCTGTGTTGTGTGCTCACCGCCCCATAGTCTGCCCCACCCAGGAACTGCCACTTACATCTAAATAGCCAGAACAGCCCTAACTGGTTTGGCTCAGTGGATAGAGCGTCAGCCTGCGGACTCAAGGGTCCCAGGTTCGATTCCGGTCAAGGGCATGTACCTTGGTTGCGGGCACATCCCTGGTGGGGAGTGTGCAGGAGGCAGCTGATCGATGTTTCTAACTTTCTATTCCTCTCTGTAAAAAATCAATAAAATATATTTTTAAAAAATAAAAATAAATAGCCAGAACGGGGTCTCCTGCCCTCTCCCCCAAGTTGCAAGGGAGTCAGGGCAGTAAGCATTTTCTACTGATTGTTACTTCCCTCAAAAAGGCAAAGGTCACTTAGTAAGGAAGAACGAGAAGATGGAGTTTGGGTGGGTCACTAGGAGAATCAGCCTCATGTCAAAAATCACTGTCCCGGTACCTAAAGGGCTGGGGAGAGGCCGGGTCAGTGGGAGGGAACCCCACGAAAGTCCTCCTCCCTCTCTGAAGTGAGGGGCTCCCTTTGTGGGTGGGCCCAGGCGGCCCTAGTCAACCCGCACACCCTTGTCTCCGCAGGTTCCTACTATCTGACCACCACCTACGGGGCCCTGGAGCACATCAAGAACTACGACAAGATCACGGTGACCAGGCAGCTGAGCGTGGAGGTGCAGGACTCCATCCACCGCTGGGAGCGCCGGCGCACGCTCAACAAGGCCCGCGCCTCCCGCTCCTCCGTGCAGGTGACGCCTGGGACAGGGGATGGGAGGAGACCAGGCACACACACCATCCCCACTGCCGGGGAGGGGAGACCAGGTCCCAGACACCATCCCCACTGCCGGGGGTGGGGGGGGGGGGAGACTGTGCCCACACCATCCCCACTGCCATGGGAGGAGACTGTGCCCACACCATCCCCACTGCCATGGGAGGAGACTGTACCCACACCATCCCCACTGCCATGGGAGGAGACTGTACCCACACACCATCCCCACTGCCATGGGAGGAGACTGTACCCACACCATCCCCACTGCCATGGGAGGAGACCAGGCACACACACCTCCCCACTGCCATGGGAGGAGACTGTACACACACCATCCCCACTGCCATGGGAGGAGACTGTACACACACCATCCCCACTGCCATGGGAGGGGAGACTGTACCCACACCATCCCCACCGCCATGGGAGGAGACCAGGCACACACACCTCCCCACTGCCATGGGAGGAGACTGTACACACACCGTCCCCACTGCCATGGGAGGAGACTGTGCCCACACCATCCCCACTGCCATGGGAGGAGACTGTACACACACCATCCCCACTGCCATGGGAGGAGACTGTACACACACCATCCCCACTGCCATGGGAGGAGACTGTACACACACACCATCCCCACTGCCATGGGAGGAGACTGTACACACACCATCCCCACTGCCATGGGAGGAGACTGTACACACACCATCCCCACTGCCATGGGAGGAGACTGTACACACACCATCCCCACTGCCATGGGAGGAGACTGTACCCACACACCATCCCCACTTGTAGGGATGGTGTGTGGTAGGGCCAGTGTTGGTGCCAGTGTGGTAGGGCTTCCCATCCGGAAAGAAAGGGTGATCCCAGTGACGCTCTTGACACAGCACCTGGTATGCACCCCTGTCACCATCCGTCCACAAGGGGCAGTCCCGCACATGCCCCTTCCCACCTGCCCCCTGGGTGCTTGGGAAAGAGGCCTCCCTCGCAGCCATGGTGTAAACTGTAAAGGGCTGGTGTTTTCCCACTTTACAGTGGAGGAAATGGAGGCTCAGAGAGGTCAGGGTCACACAGTGAGTGGGAGCAGGGACTGGAGGGCCCATCCTTCCCCCATAGGGTCCTCCCTCCCAGGCTGGTGGGGGAAGGTGTAGGTGCCATTGGTGTGTGTGTGTGTGTGTGTGTGTGTGTCCATGCACCTATGCGTGCTCCCATCCCCAGCCACATGCAGAAGCATCGCCTCACCCTGCCCTGCCCCTCTCCACCTGGCCTAAACCCTCCACCGTTCAGGCCCAGCTCCCCTCCCCCATCCACCAAGCCTCTTCCTTCCCTCCAGTCCCCCCTACTCCCCCCCCCCCGCCCCACCTCCCTGTCTCCAGCTTGACCCACCCCAGGCTCTTCCAGCCCTAAGGCCTGAACTGTTCCGCCTGCCTTAGCAGTCCCAGCTGGACCCTGGGCTGCCGGGCCGGGACCTGCCTCCAGTTTTATGTATGCCGCCCTCCCTGCCCTGCATTGCCCCTGGGGTGCAGGAGGACTGCTGAAATGATGAGGAAGTGACAGATGAATACATACATGATGGCGAGCCGTGTACTGGCCGCCAGGGGGCGTGCTCCCTCCTCGGTGCCAAGACCAAGCCACTGACTCACCCTGCACGGTCATCCCCGCGGAGAGGCGGGGTGCAGAGGGCCTTGCCTTAGGTGGCACAGCAGGGTCGGCCACGGGTACCCTGACTGCAGCCTCGCGACCGTCCGACCATCCCTTCTCTCTCCGGAGAGGAGTCTGGGGCCCAGAGAGGGGAAAGGTCTCGCCCGAGGCCACCCAGCTCCCCTGCGTGGGGTGTGGGGGGGAGACAGGATGCGCGTGGCCGGCTGGTGACCAAGCCCCCTCCGCCTCACCCCGCAGGACTTCATCTGCGTGTCGTACCTGGAGCCGGAGCAGCAGTCGCGGACGCTGGCGTCGCGGGCGGACACGCTGGGCACGGCGCTGTGCGCTCAGTGCGCGGAGAAGTTCGAGGTGCTGCAGCCGCAGGACCACCGGCTCTTCGTGCTGGTGGACGGGCGCTGCTTCCAGCTGGCGGACGAGGCGCTGCCGCACCACATCAAGGGCTACCTGCTGCGGAGCGAGCCCAAGCGCGACTTCCACTTCGTGTACCGGCCCCTGGATGGCGGGGGCAGCGGGGACCCGCCCTGCCTCGTGGTGCGGGAGCCCAACTTCCTGTGAGGCCCGGGCCACCGCGGCCCCCTCGGTGGCAGTGTTTCCTGAGACTGGCGGGGCGGAGAAGCGGGCAGACTGGGGTCACGCTCGCTCACGCCCCATGCTCACACTCAGCTGGACCTCCTCATACATGCAGGAGCCCACATCTGACCACATACACACACACACCCAACATGGAGCCCGTCTGTCACACGTGCTTGCAACCCACTGAGCATGCCGAGGCCAGCGCGGCAGGACAGCTGTGAAAATGACAAGCAGGAGTGGCCAAGCATGCTTCCTGAGGGAGAGTCATAGCACTGGGAGGCCAGGTTACCTGTTAGAAAGGGAAACTGAGGTTCTGCCAGCTGCAGCAAAAAGAGCTCAAGACGGGGCCCTGTTCACACACAGGCCCTGCCTTCCCGCCCCGTCGTCCAATCTGACTATTCCCTCTGGGCCCCAGGGGGGCACTGGGGTATATTGGAGGCCCAGGATCTTAAGAGTATCTCTCAGGGTGTGTGCTGAAGAGACGGGCCCCGCTCCCTGCACCAGAGCCTGCCCTCGGCTACCAGCACCCACAGTCTCTCCCGCGGCTTCTGAGCGCCTCCAGAAGCAGCCAGACATGCACCGGGACCCCAAACACGGGCAGCTCCTCTGCTCCAGGGACGAGCCCAGCCTCGGCCACACGGGAACACTGACAGGGCCCTTCCCCTGGCGGACACCAGGGCTGTGGCCATTGTGGCAGGAGGCACTGTGTGGGGACAGTTTAATAAAAGCCCTTTTGAAAATGGTATCGCCTTTTCTCAAGGGGCTGGGACTCTGCTCAGCCGGCCAGGCAGCCCATGAATAGCCTAACTCCCTCCCCGGGAGGGGTTCAGAAGACTCCCTCCTTTCCACCGAGGGCCCTATCTTTTGAGAATTTGCCATGTAGCCTCAGCCCTCAGAGCTCTGGCCTCTGTGTGCCCCTCAGCGCGGTCATCTCCTGCCTCTTCACCATCCTTGGTTCCCATCATTCCCAACTCTGGATTGCTTTCCAAACAGTCTCTTACCTTCCTGCTTCCGCTACCTATCCCAGAAATCCCATTCCCTAAAGTCTTTGCCCGGTCAAACTCCTATTCAGTCTTCAAAGCCCACCTCCTCCAGGAAGGCTTCTCTGATTTCTTAGACTGGCCAGATAGGCCTTGTCCACGTTCCCACAGCCCCCTGGGCTCATCTCTCTCACAAGAGAGATCCCATCAGAGTGCAGTTGTCTGTTGATTCGTCTGCTTTCTCCACCAGGTTTGGACCATTCATGGGTGTCCTCCGCATTAATTAAAAATATGTATTTGTAGAGTGCCTGCTCTGTCAGGCCCTGGGACACAGCAGAGAACACAGCAAAGCTCACGTGGATAGCAATGAGCAGGTTGCCCCAAGGGGGTCAGCCGGACCCCCCTGAATTAAACTCCTGGGCACCAACCAGCTCCCCCAGCCAGTCAGACACCTGTAGGCCTCTGGCTCCGGGCCAGCCCCGTGTGAGCTGTGGGGCGTGCTCCGGCCAGTTGCAGCCAGCCCTGGAGGACTTCCCAGGCTGGGGTTCGGTGTAGCAGACATGAGAAAACGCAAACCCAGAGCTGAGGGCAGCCAGCCAGGACCCCAGGTTGCCCCCTCCCCCTTGCAGACCCTCTCCCCTTCCTGAGCTTCCAGTTGCCCCGCAGCCCTGAGCTGAGCTGCCTTCGCAGCCTTGTGCCCCCAGCTGTAAGGCGAGGCGCCCACCGCCTCCAACAAGACCTGAGACTGGCGGAGAAGGTCACGGGGGCCCATGATCCAACACCCTCTTGCCCAGGTGGGGCCTCAGCTTGGTGTGGGGCGGAATTCAGAGGGTGGATTGGGCACAAGCCCAGCCCCGGGGGGATTATGTTAAGCTCCCAAGGGAACAGAGCCAGCCAGCGAGCGGGACTGAGAGGCCACTGTCAGAACAGGGTGTGTGTGTGTACAGTGTATGCCTGGGTGTGCACCAGGCCCACCATCCTGAGGCCAATGCTGAGGTCCACCCTCATCAGGAGAGGCCAGAGGAGGAGGGGCGGGGCCACCTGGACCCCCTGTCATCCAGATGCCTCTGCCCCAAGGGAGGTGTGAGGGGACAACCTCAGGTGTGGGGGCCTGATCCAGGGCCACGGGACAGGGCCGTTGCGCATGCGGAGCCCTCGGTGGGCCTGGTGGTGTCAGCAATTCGCCTGCATTATTTCACTGAATCTGCACACAGCCCCTTGAGGGAGATATTACGGATGAGGACGTGCAGGCTCAAAGACAGGGAGTGTTAGTCTGCTCGGGCTGCCATAACAGAACACCACAGATGGCCGGCTTCGATAACAGAAACTGGTTTTCTCACTGGCGCTGGAAGTCTACGTTAAACCGTTGGCAGAATCGGTTCCTCCTTGGCTCACAGACCGCCGCCTTCTCGCTGCGTCCTCACTCGGCCTCTCCTCGGTGCATGGGCCCCTGGTGTCTTTTCCTCTCCTAATAAGGACCCAGTCCTATTGGATTAGGCCCACCCATAGGACCTCAATTATAGGGCCCAGGCTGGAGGAGCCTGCAGCCAAGGTACGTGCCCTTGACCAGAATCAAACCCAGGACCCTTTGGTCTGCAGGCCGAAGCTCTATCCACTGAGCCAAACTGGCTAGGGCTGTTCCTTAATTCTTGTAATGTATTTGCATTGTAATGCCTACAGACTTAAAAAAAAAAAAAGATACAATTTACATACCATAATATTCACCAAACACAGTTTTAGTTTTAATCTTTACTATGAACATTTTCTTCATCACTTTCTCAAGTCTAGAGAGAGTAGACACTGAAGAAAACAAATCAAGCCCTGATTTGGTAACATTTGCCAATTTCTTCGGTGTAAATATTTTCACTACAGCTGATTTCAAGCTGCCAACCTGGAGTCCCTATCCACCAAGATGGGACTAGATGTGCGGTGCCACCTGTTCTATAATATCACCTCCACGCAGGTACAATAGGTACGAATAACCCAAGAGCATAGGTAACAGGAAAACAATTACAAGGGGCAAGTTCAGAGTATTTATTGCCTTTGTTTGTTTAAAATGTTTTCACTTATTTTAAAAAGAGGAATGGGGAGAGAGGGAGAGAGAGAGATGAGAGAGAGAGAGAGAGAGAGAGAGACATTGATCACTTGTGACCCACACACACCCCTACCAGGGATCAAACACGCACCCCGGGCTTGTACCTCACTGGGAATGGAACCAGTGACCTTTCAGTGCACAGGACAATCAATGCCCAACCCACTGAGCACACCGGCCGGGGTATTACCTTTGTTTTTAATATAAATTATTTAATCCCAAGTTCACATAAGTTAACTTAAAGCCATGGCTGAGTTTAACAAATGGCTTGTGAAGTCCCTGGAAACACTGATCAATGGGCTCTCACAAGCCAGCACAGGCTGCCTCCAGCACAGCAAGGGCCCTGCCTGGTAGGGTGGGCTGAACGGAAGGAGCCAGCGAGGGTGAGAGTGAGGCCTCTGCCAGCAAATGCACTGGACCCACGGGAGGGGCTGCACAGGACCACGGTCAGAAGGATGGATAAAAGAAGAGACTGGGCGGCTCCCAGGGTCTGCCCGAATGTTCTCCCCCAGGGTCAGTGGGGTGGATGTGAGGGAAGACAGCTGGGTTGTGGCTCGGTGGCTGGCTGGTGAAGGGAGCTGAAGAAGGGGGTTGGGATGACCTTGCAGCCTCGGGGCCCCCCACACTCCTTCCCCTCTCACAGGGCATCTCCATGCTGACCTTTCACCTACGAGATGAGCAAAGATGAAAACCCATAAAGGAGTCAATGAAGGAGGGGTGTGGGGAACAGGCGCTCACTCTCCATTTGAGTGTGAGCTGGCACAGAGGTGTGTTGGAAATTTGGCATTATCTGTTAATTAAAAAATACATTTATACATTTTCCCTAAGCTATTTCTAGGATGACAACCTGTGAAACACTGGCACGTCTTCAAAATACACACACACACACACACACACACACACACTCATGCACACATGTGCGCACACCAGCACCCTAGTCCTACCACTTGCCCTGTTGCCCACCTGTCAGCCCCTGTGTCATTCATGGAATCTTTTACGTTTGCAACCAGCCCTTTCACCAGGTCCAGAGAAACAGAAGTTCCTGTCCACCAACTGCCCTGAATGCCTGGGGAGGGCGCTGACACTCATTCACTGAGCAGCTACTGTGGGCCAGACCCCTTCCAAGCTCTCCGTGGGAATAAATGCATTTACTTCATTTGTTAGATGTGCCAACAAAAAGGGAGACTGACTCCCTCTTCCCAATTAGCACCAGAGAAATCACTGGATGAGAGACAGGCATGGGCTCCAGGGTGTAAGACAGAAGGGAGACCCTGTAGAGACCTGGGTGGGGGTAGTGAGGGTGCTGAGTATATGCAGCACTGGAGGAGGTGAGACAGATGGAAGATGAACTTTGTCACGCCTGCTCTTGGGTCTCCCTTGCACAGCCCTGCACACGGGTCCTCAGGCCCTCTGGGCAGATATCAGCCCTGGTCCACCTGTCAGGGCACAGGATGGGAGGTGCCCAGGGAGGCAGGGATGGGCCAGTGCCCCAGGCACCCCCTTCTGCTCCTCACTCCTAGGCTGGGGGCTGCAGCTGGGAGTCCCTTCCTCTCCTGTGGCTTCTCTCCAGGAGCCCAGGAGACAGTGACCCGGCAGGTGGGCAGGGACCAGAGCTCTCCACGCTGCCTGTGAGACACTCACTCCCGGAATCAGGGTGAGGGCAAGGCTGGTCCTTCTGGGGCTGCAAGTCACATGACCTTCTCTGCGGGTGAGTCTAATTTCCCTCTCACAAGGACACCTGTCGTTGCAGCGAGGGCCCACCCATCCAAGACCCAAGGCCTCCTCTGAACTTGATTACATCTGCAAAGGCCCTATTCCCAACAAGACCACGGTCACTATGTCCCATCCGCATGGATTTGGGGACACAGAACACACCTCAGAAGAGGTATCACACGGCACACGGAGCCCCGGGGTGGAGTGGAAACACCAGTCTCAGAACAGCAAGCTGAGCAGAAATTTCCCATAAATACTGGTCAATGCACGCCCAGGCACAAGGACACA